ACTACTACTACTACTACTGGAGCAACAACGACCACCAAACACCAACATTGAACGGCCAAGAACCAATACCACCCAACCAAGATAGCATGACCAAAAAGAAAACATGAAGAAGGCAGGAGACGATGACAAATGCAAAATGTGTCCTGTCCTTGGGACGCATCCACGACTCACCTGTTCACTCTCACGTCAAACACCTCCTCAGACGGTCAAAACGAGGATTGAGACCAAAGTCGTACAGGCATTTTTGGGATCCGAGTCGGGAGAAGACTCTGTCGACCGAGGATTCCACTGGGGACACCTACATTTGCGTGCATTGTCCAAAAGGCACCAGTCAGGCCTTGGGAGCAGCACAGCTTTGCAGGCCATGCAAGTCAGGCGCGGAAAACCAACGCGGCAAAAAAAGGGGCGTGGATGTTTCTTTTGTATTGACCCTACGACTCCTGTCGCAGTTAGAGTGGGTTTGTGTCTAGCTACCTTCTGAAGATGTGGTTGGAGCCCCAGGGTGAATCTAAAAGCCTATAAGTAGGGTGATTTTCCTAAAGTACTCGCCCTGGGCCCTCCAATCTGCAACTCTCAAGACTTCCGCAACCCGTTTGCAACGCCTGACTAAGAATGTGCTGAGTCGCCTTCCAGGTGAGTATCAGGACGAGGTCGGTAGCAGGACATGCAAACGCTGCGCCATTGGCAGCTACCAGGAGAGCGGACTGGACTGGACGTCGCGACCTTCGGCAGCGTCAGCTGAGAGCGTCGTTTTTTTTGGTGGTTTTTTTCCTCAAAGGGCTTGAGTGATGTGACACTGTTTGGGGTCTCTTTGCCGGGAAGCTCTTCTTGAGGGCATTTTTTTTGAGTGGCGGGTTCTTTTGTTTGTGTGGTGCGGCCTGGGGTGAGACATGCTGTTCCGCTCAAATCTCGACCGAATTGAGAGAAAGAGCATGAGACCTTTCGTCATGCCTAAGTCTTATCACTAGCTTGAAACATAATTGAAACATCTTGATTACACTCCCTGAAATGATCATGGTTATGCAGATGGCAATGCCCCGTAAAGAAGACCATTTCCGAATACCACACAGGTGGTAAACTCCACTTTCATGATAGTTTTTCTGGGAGTGTAGATTGATGGGCAAAGGATGGTAAAGGCGTATCATGCGTTCGAACTTCTTCGCAGGACGAGCAAGGTGCAGAAGTATGCAAGGCTTGTCCAGAGACCACCACCACCTTGGGTTTGGGTTGCTCGGCACTGCTGGTGATGTTGTTTTTGTCCAAGGGTTGCAAACAAGCATCACTATTTTCGAAAAAGGCCAGCAACCTAACCATCATCTTCTACTAGGCCCTGGGAGCTTGGGATAGACCCAAAGAATTGACGTTCACCTATCATCACTTTAGCTTTGGTTTAAGTGTTGTTGCCGCTGAACATTCACAGAGCTTCGAGCCGATCCTATTGCTTATGACCTCTCGACTTCAAAAGATCTACCTCTCCACTTACTACCACTTACCTCTCTAGTAGCCGAACTCTACCTACCTCTCTACTACCTTTCTACCTGTTGGCCATCTCTCTGATTCTTTAAATGTTTTGAACAAAAAACAAACATTTATATGAACCGACTCTTCTCCAGGCTCTGTGGGCGCCAGCGACTGTGGGTGCCCTGCCGATCACATCGATGTGGACGAGTCAGGTGCCACCGACCGTTTCTTTGCACATCTGGGCGGCTTCTTCTTCTTCTTCTTAGGTTCGCTTCTAATTCTATGTATTCTATGTCTTCGATTTGTCATGTTGCTGTTGCTGCTGGTGATGTTGCTGCTGTTGCTGCTGGTGATGTTGCTGCTGTTGCTATCGCTGTCGCTGTCGCTGCAGCTTCTGTTGCAGTTGCTGCTGTTACTGCTGGTGGTGTTGTTGTTGTTGTTGCTGTTCATTTGCATATTGATATTGGTGTTTCTGGCAACATGTCCCAAGAAGCTCTAAATGTTCCATAGAGGGCAGCCCTTGGAAAGACATGCTTGTAAATGTATGACTTTATACGCTCGTCGAACCCAGCCAGGTGGTGCCATCCCAGCAAAGGAAGTACTGTTTTTTAAATCTTCCTGGCATTGCCTGGCCATCAGTTTGCTGTGCAGGAATTGTTTCAATTAACTTTAACGGTGTACCCTTTCTGCCCAATATGGCCAAGTGTTGCATTGTTGCAGGTGTCAAAGCCCTTGTGGCCCACAATGCTTTCCCCCTTTCACGCCAGGTGGTGTGCAATGTCAGGCATGCAGCGAAGGTCTCACGTGCCCGATCCTTTCCAACCTGGCGACTTGACATATTCCAGTCACATGGAGTGTTTGGGAAAGGGACCGGAACCGAGTAGTTGGGTGCACCCCTCGGTTCATGCCCGGCCGATGCCTCTTCAGGCATGTTGGACCTTTTTCATGCGGAGTTAGGACAGAATCCATGTGAACTGCTTCACCTTCCTGAAACATCAGCTGATAGCTTTCGCTTGGTGTCCCAAAACTTCTGACGCAGTCACCAGTCTCAGAGGTTGGGACGGGGAATTTGGGAAGCTGCCCGCTGCGTGTGCGTATCACCATGTGAAAGGGCCTAACTCCTCTTCCACTCTCACAAAAAGCGGAAGACCCGAAATCTCGAGCAGAACTTTTCACGAAAGGTAACCCTTTAGGGGATACCTTGAGTTTGTCTTGCGAAGCAAGTGTTGGGACGTCCGGGTCTAATAATTGATCGCTCAATTCAGACCCCCCCCCCCCCCTC